GTAAACAAAGTCTCAGTGAGTCCCTGAAACTTACTCCATGACAGGGTCCTTCTCTCCACCAAGACTGTCAACACCCAGGACTCTGAAGGGAAGAGATCCTCCAGCCCCCAGGATGGCTGCCAGTCAAGCAGAGGGCGCCAGGGCCCTGGCCTTCAGTGCCTTCACCCATGCTAGGGCGGGCTTTGGGTAACTCAGTCTTCCCCACCCTGTAGACAACCCTCACCTTATACTCCTGTAAGTAAACCAGCAGACTCTTTGGCTCACCAGGTTGGACTTTGGTGGCATCATTACTTCTATCCACTGTCAGTTTCTTCTCTGGGGTGAGTAGACATTTTTCAGGTCTCTCCAGGATTAGTGTCAGAGGACTCCTCCCCTGCCCTCCCCTCCCCTCCCCTCCCCTGCCCTCCTCCGTCCTCCCCTCTCAATCCTCTCCTCTCTCTCTTCCTGTGGGGTTTTTTTCTCTTTTTTTGATGAAAAGGTCTTGCTATGTAGCCCAGGATGGCATAGAATCCACAATCCTTCTGCCTTAGTCTCCTGAGTACTGAGATTTACAGGTGTGTGCCACCATGCCAAATTTCTCATAAACAGCCATGTAGGATCCAGAAATGTATCATGAATGGTTTTGTACTTCGTTACATGGAAATCTACAGGTTCCAGCATTAGTCACAACATTCTGAACACATTAGCTTACTGAGCCACGCAGGTTGTGCAAATATTGGCACATTTCTTCCTGCCATATCAAAAAGCATTCATTAAACTTGCTTCTTTTTATTGGAAAAGACTTTCTGGACTGGGAAGCTCTCATGCCCAAGGGCCATTCCTCCAGATAAAACAACTGGGGCCGGTGAGTGGCTCAGCCGGCAGCGGAACTGTGTGCGGCTTCCCGCTAAATTCAATCCCTGGACCAATCCCTGGGCTCCACAAAGTAGCAGGAGAGACTGATCCAGAGGGTTGACCTCTGACCTCCACACACCCTGCAGTACATGTGTCTACACTCTCTCATACATATGCACAAAATAAATAATTCAAACAAAAATGATGATTGATTAGAAAAGTGACCGTTCAGGGATTCAAGGAAATCTCTGGATGCAGGAGACAGACAACATCTCTTTGAAGACTTCCGGGTTGCTGCTAGACTCCGACTGCCTTGCTTCTGGGGCTGTGATTAAAGAGGCTGGCTTCTCGTGGTGTTTGGTGGACAGGGACGGTTTCCCTGGCAGCAATTCCCAGGATTGTGAGGCTTTCTGCAGTATGAGCCTCCACACATAAGTTCAAGTCCTTCAGGGAGGGTGAAAGCTCAGCATTTTGTCCTCTGGAAATTACTCATGACCATTATGCCAAGGTTAGCCCATTAAGGGGACACAGTGGCACAGTGGGAAATGTTTTTTTTTTTTTGTTTTTTTTTGTTTTTGTTTTTTTGTTTTGTTTTGTTTTTGCAGTTTCTGTATCAGGGTATTAGCGGTGTTCCTAGTCTTAACTCAGTCCTGGATAGCTCACCACCAAAGTTTGATTTCTTTAAGAGTTCCATGTACAAAGTCTAGAGATAAGATTCAAAAGAGAGGCAGTTGTGACTTGAGCTGGCTTATCAACCAGCCAGGCCAGCTAATGGAAAACAAATCTAGGTATCTGGGAAAGATAGGCAGAAATGATAACAGAAACAGTACTCCTGTGTGCTAGGTAAAATGAGTGTGAGCCTTGAACTGGCACATTGTTTCTTTGGCCCTTCTTAATGGTGTGTGTGTGTGTGTGTGTGTGTGTGTGTGTGTGTGTGTGTGTGTGCGCGCGCAAGCGCTGGTGCATGCACTAGTATGTACACGGAGGTCAGAGGAGGCTGTTGTCCTTTATCACTTTCCATCTTATTCCTTTAAGACAGGGTCTCTCCCTGAAACTGGAGTTTATGGTTTTCAGCTAAGCTGGCAGCCAATAAAACCCGGCAGTCCTCTGTCTCCATTTCCCTCAGGGCTGGGGTTACAGGCAAATGAAACACCATGACAGCTCATTGCATGGGTTTTGGGCTCCAGACTCAGGTCCGGACAGTTGTGCAGCAAGTTCTCTTAATAACCAAGTCACCTTTCCAGCTTTGATGGTTAGTTCTAACTGTGAACCTTGCACAACCTAGAGTCACCCATGAAGAGAGGTTTCAACAAGAGTTTGCTAAATCGGGTTGGACTATGGGCAGACTTCTCTTTAATTGGATTAACTGAGGTGAGAAGACCCACGTACTGTGGGCAGTTGCATTCCCCAGGTTTGGGTCCTGGACTGTGTAAGCAGAGAAAGGGAGCTGGATGTGACATGACTGCACTCATGTGTGTGTTCTTGACGTGGGTGTGATGTCACTGGACATCTGTCCTGCCGCCCTGACTTCTCCGCTGTGATGGGATCCAGGGCTAAAATGAACCTTTCTTCCCTAGATTGCCTTTTGTTGGGTTAATTTTTTATCACAACAACAGCAATCAAAATACAACCCCAATCCTAATGGGTTTCTTTTTAACTTCCAATTAACACAAAGATGACTCCAGCAGACATCAAGTAAGAGGAAATACAAGACAAACCTTTGTGCTGTAGTTATAGACACTGACTTCCAAATTTGGTCTAATCCAGGGATTTAGGATAATAAAAATATGGATTGGTGTTGGAATAGTGACATGCAATCCTGCTGATAAAATAAATCACATTTTCCTGATGAAGCCACGAAGTGTACATTACTAATTCTCAAGATACAAATACCTGACTTACAGGGACGGCCATAGGCTCCCAACAATGACGTTTTTAGAGTGCACACTCCCCATAGTGACTACCTCTACCAGGAAGCCACACCACTGCAAGCCTCTGATCCCCTGCCTCCAGCTCCTGGATGCTGGTATTAGAGCAATGCACTGCCATTACCGGTTTATGTGACTGGGGGACCCTGCATGCTAGGCATGCACTCTGCCAACTAAGATACGTCGCTGCCCCTAATGTTTGCACATTTTATATATGGTTAGAGAAAGCCATGGATGATACAGGATTTTTAGCAAAATTTCCTGGGTATTATGCATTGGCTAGGAATAATTTGTGATTGTAGTCCTGCCCTTACTGTGTATAACTATAAAAATAGAGACAGGAGCCTGAGAAATGCTTGTCTTGTCTCACGAAGAGACAGTCTCTTTGCACAGGGGCCCAGTGTAGTTAAGGATGGGCTGAGTGGGTACCTTGTTTCTCAAGGCCGGATCTGCCCCAGCTTCCAGGAGTAGTGCAACCGTTTTAATGTTTCCACTGAGCACTGCTGCATGCAGAGCCGACGTCCCATTCTAAGAGAAAATGAGAGTGAGTGTCAAGAATTGAGCTCACAGCCCTCAGTGCTTTGCCTGGCTTTCATCACAAACCATCTGAGAGATGCGATGGGAATAGCACAGTCTTACACCTCTGTATCTTTCCTCATACTTATCAAAGTCACATCTGTACCTACTACAGTGTCCTCAGATACTATGTAGTATATGGCTAGATGTATAGCCATATACTACTATACAGGGAGGGGAAGGGAAGAGATTATAACCAAATTTACGGAAGAATGGGGTGCAGACATTGGCTACAGAGGGCACAGATATCTATAAACAGCAGGACAATGCAAGCCAAGCTTCCTTCTTGATGACTCATAATCACCATGATTTGGTAAAAGTAAAAAAAAAAAAAAAATCATACCTGGAAAAAAACTGTAGCAAAGCAGCCTTTCTCTGGTTGCTGCCACACTTGGAATGCTGGTTCACTAAGCCGGCACTAGCTCAAATGTCTAAGTCTTAGGCAACAAGCATGGAACAGCTAACAGAGGCGGACAGAAGTGTGTAAAGCTCGAGTAGAGTCTGCCAAGCTCACTTGAAAGCTGTTTCACTTTCATAGATAAATCCTTGTTTCCAGATGGTTGTAAGAAGTTACTTCCCGATTCCCAAGTTCATGGAAGATGGGAGGCAGCTCAGTAGGAGGAGACGGGGGCTGACACACTGAGCATTGCTGCTCTTGATTAGGATCAGCAAGAATGGGGTCTAAAGTGTGAAGGGCAGACAGATGCTTCTAGTATGGGCATGGCAGTTACGGGGTCATTCCAGGGCAAAGAGTTTGCATGTCTTGATGGGTCCTGAGGACACGGCCTCCGAACTGCCAAGCCACAGTGTCAACTTAGAAAAGACTTGGCGTCCTTTACTTAACAACAACAACAAAGAGTAAATCCTTCCTGCAGTCAGCAAACTGCCCCCTACAGGTTGAGCCTAGTCCACCGCCTCTTTTCTCGTATGTTCTGAAAGTTAAGAACATTTTGTAACATGCCCAGATGTGAAGTTTCATCACTGTATACCGTAATTAAAACTCTGGATGGCAGCCACACTCATTTGTTGCTGTCACTTCCTGGCTCCTCTGAGATGGCAGAATGGAGAACCTGCACAGGAACTGTAGGTTCCTCAGCCCAGGTGCATCTGGGGCCTCACAGGGACGCTTTGCTGACCATGCTGCATCCACCGCAGCACAGACATCCTTTCACCCCAAATGGTTCCCACTTAACCAAGCGTCTCTCGTCTCCAGGAAGACCCGTTTCTGAAGCTCCCAGATGTTTGAATTTTACACTGAAGCTAACCATGAAGAGTGGGTCTTCCCTCGGGGATGAAAAGAAAGACATGTCCTCCTTTACAGATCGTACAAATCTTCCAAATGACATCAATAGTTCACTTGCCTGTTTTTAGTGTCAATTATGCTATTTTTTTTTCCTGAAAAACTAGTTATTAGGAGAGTGTTCTCTTTCCCACCTTCCCATTTCCACTGGACCCAGGGATCCTGAGCTAATGGCAATCCAGTTCTACCTCTGTCACCAATATGTCTTGGCTAACTTGTCTCTCTTTTTGACAGAATGGCATAACTTTTTAGGTCTTACCTTCAAAATACCGAGAGTAGGTGAGAATTTGAGCAGCTCCTCTATGACATCGTTGTACCCTTTGTTGGCTGCCTTCAGCAAGGCTGTAGTGCCGTCCTGAGGGAGGGGCATGGAGTTAATTATTAGCGTACATTGTGCTGGCTAATCAGCCATGTCTCCGTTTAGGGCAGGTTAGGGCACATTAGACGGTAACTCTGCCCGCGAGGATACCATCCACAGCGGGTGACTGCTGCCTTAGGAGCCTGACGTTCGGTAAGTCCGACGCTTCTCCAGTCCCCGAGAACACTGGAGCATCAGGGACAAGGGGGTTATCATGGACCCAAGAGACCTTCTCTGCTGTTCATGACAGTGGAAATTGCTTAACTGCCTTTAATGATTCATGTTATCGAACTACATTTACTGCCTTAAAAATACACGCAGTCTGACTTCACCTACCCTGTGCATTATTGCCTATGTGTGCTGGTGGGGTTGCAGGAGGAACGGGTCATATCTGATTAATCTTTTAAAAGATTTATAGACAAACTTAAAAATTCATCTTTAGTGATCATTTTTGGCTCAAAGAGAGCCGTTTCCAAATCCTTAGCATTTCCTGCTTGTATCAATGACTGCGTCTGGAGGACCATTTCTGAGCTGTCTTCTGTCTGCCTGTAGAGAGCATCCTGAATGGGGAGGAGGAGGAGGAGGAGGAGGAGGGTGTGATGGGGGATTTCTCTCTTCTAATTTCCGAGACGACAGGAAGACGATGATGAGGGGAAGCCAGGAACAGGGCCTCCAGGTTTCCCTTTTCTGAGATTTGATAGGCAACCAGGAACGGCACAAGAGAAGGCACAAGGTACATCAGACACAGGACACACGGCTCGCAACCTAACGCCGAGAGAATCTCTCCAAATCGCTCTCCTTGTATGGACCTGCAGCTGGCGCAGGCGGGCAGGATTCAGGGCAACCCTCAGAAGCCAAGTGTGTGGAGCTGGTGCTTGAGGGGTGTAGCACAGGGGTTTGGAGCAGCGGCGAGGGCAGCAGCCAACAGTGGGGTCTGCCTGCGTGTCCATAGATCCTGCGTGTCCCCTGCTGGCACGAGGTCAAGTAAACCGTACCCCTCACCGGAAGTCATCTCAGATGGAGGAGGGGGAGGCACAACACTTATGAAGTTTCCACTTAATTGGACTTTGACTGTTTTCCTGCTAAAGAGCAGGTAGAGGTTGGAAGCCCAGTTGAGTGGTAAATAACACACTCGGGGGTCACATCTGAGCCCAGTCGGGGCTGGAGGGGTGGGGGCTGTCTACTCACGTTGCGTGCAGCGTCACGGTCAGCTCCCCTCAGCAGCATCACGCGCACCACCTCGCTGTGGCCCATCTGGGATGCGATCCACAGAGGCGCAGTTCCATCCTGTGGGAAAAGGGGTTCCACTCACTCATCCCGGAACCTCAGAAACACCAGATCTCTCTGAGTCCAAAAAACCCTGGAGGAGATCCCCTCTCCCGCTGTTCTGCACACCTTGGAGGAATGCAGAGAGGAGGTCCATCCAGTAAACACAGGCCACAGAATGGCGTTGGCCACAGAATGGCGTTGGGCAAGCAGGACCTAGCAACTGTTCACGACAAACTTTTGTCTTATACAGTCTTTCCTTTTCTCTTTAGCGACAGGATGCTGTGCATTTTAGGTTGGATGAAAACTCGCCGTATAGCTGAGGATGACCAGGGTCCTCTGAGCCCCTGCCTCTACCTACTGAATGCTGGGATAATACACGTGCCACCATACCATTTTATGTAGTGCTCTATTGAACCCAAGGCTTCCTGCATGCTAAATAAGCACTTTACCAACCAAGACACATCCCCATAGGTCTGGCCTTTGATGCCAGGGTGTAGAACAGGCTGGGGAAGGTCCTGTGGGACCCTTATTCAAGGACAGCCGAGATGCACCACATTCTGAACCCCCCTAGCAATGAGGCACTGTCTCTTTCCCCTCAGACAATCTACTCTGTTTTCTGTGTTAGGATGAGGCAGTGCATCCTGCCAGCACATGTCCAGCATGGAAGAGTGGGCAGCTTCTTTTGAGGTGGGTCATTTCATTTACTTTCATATTTGGTACCCCAAAATCTCCCATGCTTTAAGGAAGCTTATGTAGAAGGCTATGCTTTTCCTAGGAATGGACGCCCAAACTAGTGTAACAGGATATTAGGGTAACATTTCCTGTACAGTATTTGCCGGGTGACACCCTTTTTCCTGCTGCGGGCTGCAGGAATATATCATAAGAACTCAGCTGGTTATGGCAAAGTCACTACCTGGAGGAATCAGGGAATTCCTCCAGAGAAAGCCAAATTCCAAGGAATTTTTTGGTGTTACTTGGCTTGTTATATATCAGCTGTCTTCTGTTATGAAAATCATGTGTGCCTTCATAGTTTTCCCAATTGACTTTTCCCTAAGAAGGGCTAACAGTGTGGACTGTTCACTCTCTGGACATACACATTCCAGGTATTTGGAGAACAGCCTCAGGAAAGGCTTTCTCTGGAATCAGATATCTCCCTTGGCCACTTTCAAGGACTAGCAGTAATAACAGTCCACATGCGAGTCTCCTGGTTTAAGATAAATTCCACAAGAAGACACCACCTAGGTCAGGTGGACATTAAGTAATAGCTTTACACAATTTAGCTTGGACCCTCCTTTCTTACAGCCTTACTAACTTTATAGACCTTTAACTCCTTACCTAACCACTTCTAGGAATATTTAGATAACCTTCTGCGCTGACAGCTATGCTCAGCCAGAACCCCAGTTCAAGCCTCCCTGTAATTATCATCATTGGCAGCATCCGGCCAGGTCCATCCCCAGATGGAGGAAAGTACCTTATCAGAGATACCTCTGTACTCTCTAAGAACAGACTTAAGCATCCAGGCTATCTGTTTGAGAAGGCCTGGCGGATGTGCCAATTAAGCTTTACTTCCTCCTTTCCCAAACTTACCTCTAGTTCCATATCTCCCTTTAACTATCACCAGAGGCATCTAGCTGTACACAGGTTGCCTAGTGACTGAGCACACTTTCCCCCACCCTGCAGAAAAAAACGGCAGATAGCTTGGACAGATAGGAGCCACAGGAAAAAAGAAAGCAGTTTTATTTTCTCCCATTGACCTAGCAACTTATAGATTCTTAACATTTTCTACCAATCACGTTTAAGACTATAGTTGAGCACATAAGATCCCTCTTCTTAGATATTACCTGAATTTAGCCTTTAGTTAATCCATTTCCCCATTGGTCACTTCCCTTTGGGATTGCAAATGATAATTAATGGTTATTGCCTCTCAATGTGATTCTTATCACCCCTCCCTTTGACCCTGGAAGCCTGGCTTTATATACCAGGACTTCCAGGGCACAGGGGGACTGAGAAGAGAAAAGAGAGTGGAAGAACTAGATGGGTAAGAACTTGAGAGGAACAAACTGAGATGGGGAAGAACTAGGTTGTAGGGCTAGAAGAGAGTACTAGAGGAATGAGATGGAAGATGAGGAAGAGCCAGATGGGGAAGTACTAGCTGGGTAAGAACAAGCCGAAAAGGACCTAGATGAGGCAGAATTAAGATGAGAGAATTAAGATAGAACTTAGATAAGTGTAGAGAGAAATCAGGCAAGAAAGGAGCTAGACATGAGAACAGAACTGAAGCTGTGTATAAAGGATGTTATGCCAGAGGAATTAAAGCAAGTGGATGATAGAGCTTGGTGTGCTGAGATTCTATTTCCTGAAAATAGTCCTCGCCGTTAGTAGTTCTCTCTCCTGAGCCCCTGGGATGTATAATATTAAGGCTGGTCCCTCTAATATTATACAAGATTTTCCCAAGGCTGAGAAGGAGGTGAGATAATAGAAAGGGAGGAAGGGGAAGAATTTGACCCCAAGGCTGTCAACTGGAGAGCAGGAAGTCTTCTTCCTGTAGGTCAGGAAGAAGCAGGAAGAGGGAAGGGACTCATGTTGCCTCCCTGCCTGGCTTGACTCTGGCATGTGGAGGGCACAGGGGTGGTAGCTAGGGGGTACAAACACCTAGACAGAACACTGGGAGCTTCCGGTGGAAAGGGAATTTTCTCGTTTTCCTAGAGCAGAACTCAAGAAAACGGAAAATGCCTTAAGGAAGTTCTGTTCTAGGCTAGTGCCTGAAAGTGAGGAGAGGATTGCCTATGGGAGCTGTCTGGGGCACAGGGGTACCTGAGAGATTTCCCCCAACAACTACAATCTATAGCCACCTAGCATCTGGTTCTTCAAGAATTTACCGTGCTCATAGGAAACTGGAAGAGAGGCTTGAAGTAAGTTTGAGGTTGAGAAGACAAGGACACAGAAATAACTTCACTCAGTAGCGTCAATGCGGAGCCAGCACCTAGGATGGGACCCTAGGGATCTCTAGGAACCAGTGCAGACACCTGAGGACCAGAGAGGCCAGCAGAGATTCAGGAAGGAGTCTTCCCAACCCCTCCTCTGATACCTGAGTGGTAGCCTGATCTCTGAGAACCAGTTCACTTCAGAAAGAAGAGCAGGAGGAGGGAGCAGGATCCAGAATTGGGGAAATGTAACTCCTGGCGTCATCAAGGTAATCTATCCCAAGATCTGGATTACCTACCTACCCACGCAATGGGGGCTACAGAGCAAGATCATACACTGATAGATCATGAAGTTACAGCTTCTGCTGCAGTGTGCAATTTCAGTCCAAGCATACCAGCTAATGCAGCACACAGTCACTGGAGATTGCCATCCTGACAAAGGGTTAGAGGATGGACTTTTGAGTCCGGGGTTAAAGATGACAGATTGAAAGGTGGGGGTGGAGGGTGAGGGTGAGGGTGAGGGGAGTGGAATCTGCAGGTGCTGAGGGAGCATTGGTGCCCGAGTCTTGGGAGAGGTGGGGAAGGAGGAGCTGAAGGACAGAGGAGGGCTGAAAGAGCCTGCTTCGCACCTCCTTCACGCTTCTGTCTCTTGGAACTCTTCTTGGATGTGAATATTATCACAAACAAATTATAATTTGTACTAAAAGCACAAACTAAAAGTACAAACTAAAGAATAGCTTACTGTTTATAATAAAAGAACTTCCACAATTTTCATTTGATTCTCCCAGTCGAGGATTTAATTTAGTATTCACCCAATCAACAATTAACTATGAAACTCCTTCTATGTCTCAGGCAGAATACTGAAATGCGTCTCTCTTTTCAAAGGGAAGTCCAGAGAAGGAGGTAATATTAAAATTTCTGTGCAATTGCAAATGATAGTCAGTGAGCAAAATGTGCCCAGTGAACTAGGAGAGGTCCCTCTCACTGCTGTGGGGGTTGGGGTCAAGCTCCATAGATGGGGTCATAGTTGAGTTGGGTCTTGAAGGAAGGCCAGGGTTCTGTCAGGTAACAGGGCAAGCGAGCATTTACAGTGACTTGGACAGGCATGGCGTGGCAGGCGGAGTGAATAATCCCATTGCTTTGGCACATGGGTGCAGGTGGGACCCTGAGAGACAAGAGCTCCAGGCTCCATGAGTCCGTCATGATTGAGGTGAGCTGGCAAGTGTGCTTGTTCCTTGCCTGCTCTGGGTCTATTTTGTTCTTTGTGGATGTCTCCACCAGAGGGCAGCCGGGGAAGGGAGACGGGCTGCCTCGTGAATGGGCCTGTCAAAGGTTTGGCTGTTTTAGCAAAACTGCCTGTGGAAAAGTGCTGAGATATCACCACTGAAAACAATCATCACTACTGTCAGCTTATAACAATCACACCAATGCTCAGATCTATCACATTAACTGAAAAACAAAAAACAAAAAAAACCAAAACAACCGGCCAGCACTTCTGCAAACGTGTCAAGCCTGTAGAGACCTACTGGTGAGCAGGACATGTAAAGGCGGAGAGCATGAAGATGGACAGGTGCTTAGAAAACGCTTACTGGATCCGAGTGCTGTTTACCATGAACGGCATAAAGCCTTGACTTGTACTTCTGGTTCCTTAAGCTCTTCCACTTGATTTCTTTTCCCAAGTCTCCAGGTGACCCTGTACAACAACTGGAGAGGAGCAGTGAGGTCCTACTGACAATACAGGACACGTGGGGTCGCCAGCGTTGATGGTCACTTCTCCAGATTTGATGTTGGAACCCAGGGCTTGTGAGTCAGAGCACAATGTCAAGTCCGACTATTATCTAGTTGAGTAGTAGATTACTCTTCACACCATCATTTCTGCGAAATAGTGTGTGCCTTCCTCTTCTTTTATTTTTACTTTTTTTTAAAGACAAGGTCTCTAATTATGTAGTCCTGGCTGTCCTGGAACTCCAAACCAGGCTGCCCTTGAACTCAGAGAGATTCACTTGCTTCTGCCTCTTGAGTGCTGGGATTAAAGACATGCACCACCATACCATGCCTTCTTTTTCATCATAAAAATGATGGAATACAAATCAATTCCTTTCTCTTTTCTGAGGTTTTAGAGTGAATTGGAATGGGCAAAAAAGATTTAAAAACTTTTAAATACTTTTAGATACTTCTGAACATAAAATAGTTAAAAAATATATTAAGCAGAACAAATTACTGTGACATAAAAGTTATACACTCCACAGCTCTCTGTCTCTGTCTCTGTCTCTGTCTCTCCCTCTCTTTCGTGTGTGTGTGTGTGTGTGTGTGTGTGTGTGTGTGTGTATGCTCATAGCATGAGGGTGCACACGCATGTGTGTGTATGTGCACACGGAGGCCAGGGGCTGGTGTCAGGTGTCTTCCTTGGTCGCTCTCCACCTTAGCCCCTCACTGAACTCATTGGTTTGCACAGGCTGGCTGGTCAGTGGATCCCATGAATCTGCCTCCCCGCCCTCTCGGCGTGGAGTCATAGAAGAGCACAGCTCCACCTGGTTTGTGTATGTGTTTGGGTTCTATCTCAGGACTTCACGCTCACGTGGCTGCACTTTACTGACTCAACCATTTCTACAGCACCCAAACCACTTTAAAAAGAAAAAGAAAGATTCGCAGGTAGTAGCTGGCAGTTAGTATTGGGTTCACACCAAGTGAAAGGAGATTTAGATTTACTTTGTAGGTCAGTGAAAGAGGATTAATAGATGACGGGCACATGGGGACTGGAGGCCAAGGAAAGAACAGGAAACATGAAGGCTGAATAAGACTAACAACCCAATAAATAGCAACATCTGAAGTTGTTCAACACTGGCTGATAATTCCAGAAAGAGCTCAAGTACCAAATGGATGGTTAATAGGGTGACTTTGGCATTTCCTATCACATCTGTTGCTATTTCCAGGCTATATCTATTTTACAGATAGAGGATCTATAATACCACTCACGTTAGAAACTTATCTTCTATAATCTTATCTAGGTTTCTAAAATCTACTTGGAAAAAGAAACCAACCCATCAATTCCACAGGAACACATACATGAAATGCTATATGCTCTCTGCTTCTATGGCCTTCTAGTCCCCAGGCACGGGCTGCTTTCATCTGTCAGTTTCAGGCCTGATAGTCTCTGGGATCAATTCTATTGATAGTTGGGGTTTCTCAAGATACAAGGAACTTTACCAGTAGTGATGAGGGCCAGTAGCAAGACAACTTTGCTACCAGAGTTAGTCCAACCCAGAGCCACTGCAGTAAGAATTTTACTGGGAATATTTTATATCATTTTC